GTTGTAAATAATCAAATTCAACAGTGTAAAAAAAGCTAATGTTCTAAAGAATTCAAAGTTCATAGTGTTTGTCAGGGAACGGATAGAGTTTAACAATAAATAGGTGTTTTAATTTCTCCACTGGCAGTTCGAATATCTACAACTTGAACTTTGTTATCCGATCCTGGATATACACGAATTATTCTACCCAATTTCCACTGAAGAGTGGAAACTTATGTTTTCATCCTTAATCAGGACTAAGTCGTTGACAGATATATTTTCGTGAGATTTCTTCCACTTATTTCAATGTTGTAACTCGTACAGATATTCTCGACTCCATGTTTTCCAAAAGTTTTGGAAAATTAGTAGTCTCAATTTCCATCGATCAACAATATTTTTAGATTCTTCTAAATTTTCTTCGGGCAATGATGTGAGACATGTACCAATGAGGAAGTGTCCAGATGTGATAACACTAATTTCATTTGGATCATCAAACTGCGGAATCAAAGACCTCGAATTCATACCTGGGTTACCAAGGTTGTGAATTCAGGATAAGTCAAGATCGCTGCTCCCATGAATCTTCGAAGACGATATTTCATATATTTTACAGCAGATTCCCAAAGTCCTCCAAAATGTAGTGCGACTGGAGGAATTAAATTCCATGTAACATTTTCTGAAGTCAGGAAAGAATGGAGATGTTCATTTTTCTGACATAACAAGGAAGCCTCAGCTTCGTCAATGACAAGACCATCATACAAGTCATACCAGGTTAACACCTGACGATATGTAAAAGGCAGCATGCCTTATCTAAGTATGTAAATAACTCACTTTTTCATATATATATTCAAATTACTAATCAAACTTGTTTTCACTAATATAACTATTCAATGTAAGTTGAAAAAACCAACATCAAATTGTATTTATAAATGTAATTTGCTTTGTAATTAATTAATAACGAATGACCTGTAGTGCCCAATGAGAGGCGAGGCAGGCTAAGAATAAATATTATTATTACTATTTACGTATTTCCTTGCTAGCACCCTTGAAGTTCGTCCCACAGTCACTAAATATTTCCTTTGGTTTTCCTCTCTTGGATATAAACCGTTATAATGCTTCCACACAAGCCTTACAAGAAAGATCTTCGACGACCTCAAAATGAACTGCTTGAGTGGTAAAACAGACAAAAGTTTCAAACATAAAACTCGAAAAGAAGCTCATGAAGCTGTAACTCTAGACGATGGTAGGTCAGCCATTATTTTTTTTGCAACTTGGGCACGATGTCTACAGCACAACACAATTCTTAATAATTTTTCTTATTTCAGATCTAGCAGCGACAATACAAAACCTTTGTCTTATTATAGAAACCCAAAGTGCAAAAGGTGCATGCAAATACATTTCGTGATAATGTCTGATGATGAGCTTAGAAATGAAATATTTTCATAGGAAAGAGCATAGGATGTCTTTGAGTTTCCAAAATATTTGAATTCCTTAATCGTCCTCCAACACGAATAATTTCTCTTTCATCAAGGAATGGACTTAAAGAAAGTATTCGGCTGTTCGATTTCACAGAATTTCCACTCTTTAAGCTTGATACTTCGTCAGGAAATTCAGAATATTGTAAAATTCTTATTATCGTACAAGTCGCATAATTAAGTTCTTCACTGATAGGAAATCCTGTTTTCTTAGACGTGCGCTTCAAACAATTGTTCATAATCAGTAAAAAATAAGCAGCAATACGCCATAATTTTATAAAAGATGAAAATTTGCAAAGAAAAGAGTCATCATCAATTTTAACTAAATTAGAAATAATGCATTTCCTTTCTTCCTTGGCTAAATCTTGACTGTCCAATTCCATTTTTTCATCCAATACAGATTCCAGATTAAAGTTCTGTAACCAGAATGATCCATTGAACCATTGATCACATTCAAACAATTCATTAGGTTGTAATCCTCTAGTACCATAATCAGCAGGATTATTTTTCTCTTGAACGTGATTCCATTTCAACTCAGGAATGGCAGTTTGAATTTTCGACTTAGCAGCGTCAAGTTAAATTTAAAAATCTTTCCAATGATTTCGCCTTTTTTTTTATAATTTCCTAATTTATCGCAATGCGTTATGACATTATACTTGACAAGTATTGGCAGGTATAATGTCATAACGTATTGCGATAAATTAGGAAACTGTAAAAACGTTATGACATTATACCTGACAAGTGTTCTAAGAGGCTTTAAAATCTTTAATCTAACTACCACCCAGTGTAGAAAATAGGCCAATATTCAGACTGTTCCCATTCAGTAGCACTTTAATTTGCTTTTAATTTATAAGAATAATCGGTTAACAGAATGAGCGATTTAAAAGCAATAAACATCCTTCTCAATAATTTTAATTTTATTTTTAAATAATATATCTAATTAATATACTTTTAATACACAGCTAATGTAATTTATAGTACAGCCAATTTATAATTTTTATATGTAATTTTCCGTACTGTAATTAAAAAAGATTTGTTTCTAATGTAGAGAAATTAAAAATTAATTTCTTAATTTATTTCAATTTTTTCTCCAGTGAAAACCATCTATCTTCTTAGTTATCCTGTAGGTAATATTTTCAAATTTTGTGCATGCTTATATAAGCGGTTCGAAAATATATCCTAAATGCTGATGTAAAAATATTTTCTCCTCCTCCTTTTGCAATAACTTTTTTCAGGAATAATTTTTCAGGAATATTTTATAAACGCTTTTTATTACACTTACTTTAAAATTTAGGAAATCACTATTAAAATTACAGAAGTATAATGAAAAATTGGCAAATAGCATGAATATTAATATTGTTATTAGAAGTGTAGCTAATCAGGTATATGCAAATAAATATAACATTTGTTTTAAGAGTACAGATGTACCTCCGTGTACGTCATCAATCCATTCCAGATCCTTGAACTTGCACTAAACGAACTTTTCCAACAAGAAATAGAGGAAAAATTAGTCCGTTCTTGTAAAAAAAATCCTGTTGTTATTATTTTGATATTGTTTAACACTAAAATACCACTACAAATTTTGTATACACATGAAGGGCTTCAAGAAAATCGAAGCCCTGCTGAAGAAATAAGATTACAAGAACAAGTTTATTTAACATTGATGTACATAGCTATCTCGCTAAATCGTCGAGATATCGTCAAACTGGCGATGGTTTTGGAGACCAATTTTTGTCACCAAATTTGGTGAGAAATTTCAAAAACTCGACAGACTTGGTAAACATTTGGCGACATTTGAGTTCTACTCTAACTGAGTAACTGTAATTGATCACTATATACAACTCTAACTGAATAACTGTAATTGATCACTATATATAACTGTAACCGTGTATGCATTCCAGCAATATAGGGAAATGAAAGGTACTAGAGATTTTTCGGCGGCAGGGAAAGCTATATAAGACCGGACAGAGTATCAATTCTCAGTTTTTCATTGTGTAGACTTTGGAGTATTGAGAGATCTTCGTGAGAGCTTCACTGTTTAGATGCTCTTTGCATTGTGTTCCGTTTAACGCTGAGTAGTTTGAAGTGGTAACTACTGATTGTGCTCTGTTATACTGAGAAGAGCTGTACGGATGCAGTGGGAGAAGTATCTACTGCACATAATAAATGTTTTTTGCTATCCAGATCCAAAACAATTTTCATAATCGTAGATACAATCGTATTCGGTATACCGTATGCAATAGCCAAATTCCGGACACGCGTGCTATCCTTAAACTTTTTATTAATCTCTTTATACACCACCATGGCAATCTAAACCATTTTCCACGAAGCTTGATTTTTCTCATCAACTTTAATAAAACTAATTTTTAATGTATTTACAAACATTTAAAAATTCAGTTATAGCATAGGTTGTTTGCTGAATAGCAGCAATGGGCATACTGACAAGCATTGTCTTGAAAGAGGGACGCACTCAACACAACACACTACCACTATGTGAGCTTCCGACCTAAGGTGAAACCTAACGAAATAATGTTCACACCGTAGAAAGGCAATCTACCACTACTGGCCGCCATCATCGACATTTATTTGTTAAACAGGCAAAAATTTACAGTTACATTACTAAACTTTGTACGATATCATCGTTGCACTATTGTCTTACATGAAATTTTTATTTAGATTGTGACGTAATCATTATAAAATGGTTCAATGCAAAGTTTCTGTACAATGGCATCTTTGCATTATTGTGCTACATTAAATTATTAATTATATTTTGAGATAATCATTATAAGATGGTTCAGTGCAAAGATTTTATACAATGTCATTTTTGCAATATTGTGCAATATAAACTGTTAGTTTAGATTGTAACATAATCATAATAAGATACTACGTTGCAATATATGTAAGGTTAACATAATAGACAATAAAAAAAATTATCTTGAAAGGATAATGTGGGCAGTCGTGACTCATCGAACTCGAGTCGTAATCCAATCAAATGTTGTATAACACTTCTTCCCCTCCCCGAAAAAAAATCGCTTCCTAGCACATTGTATACCCATTTGGACGTATGTCGAGGTACCACTTATTTTATTTCTATTAAACCGTAAATATTATATAATTAGACAAAAGTAAATCATACACTGCTATTAGTTTTAAGGAACACAAAAACTTTGGAAAGAAATAGAAGAGATTAGTAAGTTCTCATCTACTAATCACAGCAATCACCATTCTCAAATATTCCGTTGCTAAAACTGTGAAAAAATAATTCCTAATACGGCAAGTTAGGTAGTGTAAGATTGCGTAAGTCGTACTCCCTAAAAGAAAATAGGTATAAATCTTAGAATGTATGAAAAAATAAAAATTACTGTATGGTAATAATACCTTGGATTGTCTTTGCTGATATTTATTGCAATGAAGTTCCATACAGTTTACTCTCTTTGATAAAATAATGAATACGAACTCAATATGAGTTAGATAACCAGTATTCTACATCATACCACCTAAAGATTAGGTCGTACTACCTTAAAATTAAACAATTGTAATAAAACTTTCTTTTTTTTCCATTAGTCTTTTAATACAATTAATTACAACAATGAGCATAAAGATATTTTTTCATTTTCTTGTCAACAATATTAACAACATTAGTCGCACATATGTCATTTCTTGTCACCTTCAGCACATAAATCGTATACCGGTCCTATGCATTTTAGGCACTCAATTATATTCTCTTCACGGTCTTCTTCACAACTATTACAAGGAGGACGAACATGCTATGAAACAATATGATTGATTAGGGTGTAACTTGTTTTGCCGGAAGAGACGCAGTTGACGTGATATTACTTCTTATATTTAAAAGATACTAGTTGCGCAATGTTCATCAAAAATATCGTCATTATAAGCAATTTACAATTCAATATGTTTAAAAGCTTTATCTCACATTTTCACCCTTTGCCTCTAAAAGTGTTTAAATGCCTTATTTTAATTTTTTTCCCCTTCTCAATAGGTTGCACTAGATAGTCATTTGTAGTAACCTTGAAAAGTGTTGAAAATCTGCAGAACCTGTTTAGAATGTCTGTCAATTTTTGATGAGTAAAACCCTGTGTAAATCCTATGGAAAAACAAGGAAATTAAAATTTTTCGTATTATGTCAGTTTGGTGACCTTCTTCGATGTCTATTAATTAATATGAGCTGAATTTTATTTGTTAGTAACATACATACGCAGAGAATTGCAGTTGACTATTATTTCTTTCTTATGATTCCACCCTCTTATAGTAAAGCATTGAGTCATCAAAATGTTACATGTGATCAATTACTAAGTATATGCATGAGTGGTCAGGTGCTTTATTAATCAAACTACGAATATTACGTATAAAAACTTTTAACTGCTTTGAATTTAACTACCACCCAGTATAATCTATTACTAATTATTCTATTATGAAACTAAAAACTTCTAATTCTCTTGTCCTCTCCATCTGTCTTCTTTTATTAACAAAAAACTATAACCTTGCCAGAAGAACTAGCAGAAGGGTGAACTTTAGAGCACATAAAATAGAAGTAATTATTCAGTTTGAAGCCAAATTTTCATAATCCATATGTCGTAAAGCAGAAGAGCAGCGACGAACTAAAGGCTCAAAAACCCACAGAAGTCCCACTGAAGTGCAAATAAGAGAATTGCTGTAGAAGAGACCATCATAAGATCCAAGGATATCACGAAAACAACCTGCAAAGAAATTAAAGATGTAAGCACTATAATTTAATCGTTGTATCGTTTTAAAAGTAGCTAAATCATTTATTTGAAACTCTTTAATGCGAACTTTAAATTTCGAGATAAAATTGCAATACATCTACAGATACTCTCCAATTGAGCTACACAAATTCTGACACTCCTACTTACCTTCACTACAATGGAAGTAGTACTAATCCTGATTTAACTTTGGCTTCAAGCGACTTAGCAGATGAGGTGAACAGAGAAATAATTTATGATCCTGACTTTGGCCATCGCATTATTGTTACTTCATTCCAAGTTAAGGGGAAAACTTCTGAACAGTAGCAATATTTTAAGAACAGGTGGAATTTTAGGAAGGCCAACCGGAAGGCTTAGCGGGATGAATTGGAGGTTCTTAGTAGACCAACAAACTATGTAAAAAAATGTAGATTCCTCCTTGTTGTATATGTGAAAGACCATTTCAACAGTGGCTAAACGTTGTATTAATTAGAGGTAAACAATATAACTACAAAACTTTTTGGAATCATCAACTTTCATTTCTTTGATAAAGGAACAATCGGTTCAGGCCCGAACTAAGTCTGAAAATTCTAAAAACCTGGAAGATGTCAGAAATTGGAGGAAGAGTGCATTTATCTATAAAGAAATCAATTTAGTTTTAATATTTTTGTAAAGAATATTGACTATCTAAAGAAGGGGGATAAGGTTTTTAAATCTGTAAATAAATTTAAACACGAAGACCCCCTCTCTTCAAGGGTGCCAATCATTTTTAAAGGAAACGCGTTAAAATTTGACAAGGATATTTCTAACCCCTTTATGAATTTTTATGCTTCTAATCAACGCCTTAGTGGTGATCTTAAGAGAGATCAAAAGCTGATGAAGAAATTGATCAAAGACCTTCCATAGTACTATAGGAATTGGATAAGAGTTTTTTTTTAATAGATACTTTCACATTTTGGAACTAGAAGAAGGTACTGATTTCCTAAAGATGGGAAAAACTCTAGGCTCAGATAAATATACATCCATAGTTCATTAAGCATTTAGGATACAATGCTCAAGTGGCCCTTCTATCCATTTTAATCATAGTTGGAACATTTATGTACCCACTACATGGAACAAAGCCATTATTATCCTATTTTGAAAAAGGATAAACCTGCAGATAATATTAAAAGCTACCAACCTCTTGAACTGACTATTGTTTTGTCGAAGATTATGGAAAATATGACAGGCGCTAGACCAGAGATTCCCAACCTTTTGTCCCTAAGACCACATTCTAGAATATCTGTTAGACGGCGGGCACCATTTACCTTTCAAGCGGAACTTATAGTTGGATAGAGTTAATAACAAATGCACATAGAAGAAAAAAAGATTAGTCGCATTTCGCTTTGTGCAGGTATCTGCGTTGGAAGCAATTTCTATTTCATTAAAAATGAGTAAACTTTCACACAGAATTTTATTGAAAACTAAAACATTTTTATTCTGATCGCACAGCGGCAGGAACACGTTAAACGATCGATGAGCGCCATGGTGCCCGTGGGCATACGGTTGGGAACCCCTGCTCTAGATTAACTTCGTTTCTGGAGAGTAAGTCATTTGTTTTCTAAAGAAGGACAATATCATTCCACTGTCCAATGGGTGTCTTATGGGTGCAATTAAGGAGTCTTTAGACAAAAATTACAGAACTTGGGGATAGATGGCAGGATGCTTTTATGGATTAAGAATTTCATATCACAGCATTTTCTTGTTGTTAGATATAGCTGTGCCATTTCTAGATTTAAACAGGATGAAAGTGACTTCCCGCAGTGATTAGTCATCAGCCCAATTCTTTTTAATGTTTTTATTAGCGATTTACCGAACAATATGGCCCGTGGGTGGATTCTGCCCCTTTTGCTGATGATTTGGTAATCATCAGGATTAGTGTTCCTAAAAAGAAGCATAATGATTTAAATGCGATTCTTAATAGTGCTTTGAAAGACCTGGAATATTGGTGCTAAAAAATGGAATGAGAGTAAATCAGGATAAGATTAATTCACGCATGAATTGGAGGATGCGGAACATTTGAAAAAAAAAAAAAAAAGACTCTCTATCTTAAAACGTCTGGCTGACTTAAGGTGGTGCTGTGACAGATGGACACTGATATGTACTTATAAAATTACGTTCAAATAATTATTAGTTATTGTTACGAGACCCTCATCACGGCTCCATAGAATGTAGCCCAGATCCTCCAACCTTCTAAGCCTTCCAAAACCAAGCGTTACGCATTATTACTGAGGCAGTGAGATCTATTCCTATTCTTGTGATGCAGCTTTTAACCGGTTTGAAACCTGTTAATGATTTTATTAAAAGAAAAGCAATCCTGTTATACCAGAAACATGTGCGTTTGCCCGACAACGCTGTTTGGAAGAACTGCAATAAAGAAATTTCAAGAAATTTTAAAACTCAAATTGGCTTTATCCAGGCTGCTAAGAGAGAATCTGATGTTTTAGAGTTGTGCCAAGATTATCTAATCTTACCTCCTCCCTACTGTCCCTTAGACATTTTGAATAAGAATAGAAATTTTGATCTTATACAAAGAATTGTTAAAAACGAAATAAGGAATTCATAATTAAGATGTATTGCAGTTGAGACTGTTGGGGCTCGCTATGCTCAAAACGAGTGGCTGCGTGTCTACGCACTTACGGCTCTATGTTACAGAGAGAGCGCGGCGCTAAAGCAGATATTTTTAGTGAGGTTTTTAGTTTCTACTTACCAATGGGCTTTTCTTTGATGCGTAAATCGAAGCTATTGCTGTGGCTATTCAACAAATGTAGATTCGTAGCCTCTTTTTCGTAAAGGCATTCAAATTGTGGTTAAGAAAGGAACTTGGATATTACAACGTATTAATCGACCGCTTTCTTTTCATATATTCATAAATTGTTTGTTAACCTGACTCTTAGAAAAAATCTTAAACAGGATATGTTTCAACGTAGTATAGATAAGAGATGAAGGACTCTGGGGAATGAGAGAACTTTCATTCCTAGTTTTCCAAGAAACACAGCGGTAGCTCTATTTAGGTGTCTGACTGGACATTACTGTTTGCAAAACCTCCTCTAAAGATCTGTAGTGGTAGATTCCCCAATCTATCTTTTGTGTGACTCCAATCAGCCTATGAGTCTTGAACATTTAAATAACTGTTAAAAAATTTTTCCTTGCATTTTCCCGGTGCGATGAAATTGTTAAAAGTATCTGAGAGCCCGTGAACTAATGGTTTAAGCACTAATGTTTGGCATTTGTAAAACAAAATGAAGCAGATAAAATATTTACTTCGCTTCTATATTGAATGAGTTTGAAAATTAAAGAAATAATAGCATACTGAGTTTTAAAAGTGGCAATAAAGAAAGCATAAAAATCACATTTGAAACCTGAATAATATGGAGATACAAATACCGACTTCCAGTACAATAAAAATTTCGCACTTATATTTATTCCTCAAGAAGTCAAGAACAGGGTAAATCGAAATACACAGAGTATCTGATGTGCTGTAATAATAAACTGAAATAATGAAGGTAATACATTATATTTATATAAGCGTGATCTGCTGGAATGGTATTATTATCATAATATTCCATACTCATTAGTCCGACACTTAAATGAGGGCGAAATTCTTAATGACGCTTTTCAACAAGTCTCTGGTATATTCCATACAGCTCCTGTCACGATGTCTTTGAATGCCATGTTCGGAAGGAAAGCCAACTTTATAAAGCATATGGCATCTGAAATACATTCAACTTTAAAGCATATGGCATCTGAAATACAATCAACTTTAAAGCATATGGCATCTGAAAAACACATATGGCATCTGAAAAACAATCTCTATTATACTTATATGACGATTCGATTCAATTATGAGTTTAATTTTCTCATCCTCATCTTCAGAAGATTGACCAAAACATTGCTCATCTTCAAGTGAAAAATCTCCAGAACGAAATTAAAAAATTTTTAAAACCAATTTGTACATATGCGTTCTGTTAAGCAATCAACTCTATAAACTTCAGATATTTTTTGTGAGCCAAAGCCGCTTTCTTGCCTTTGTGAAAATAAAAAAATAAGATACGTCGAAAATGACTATTATTGCAAAAACTGACCGTAAACAAACAGTTGTAAACAAAAATACACGAAATTTGTTTGTATAGTAACCCAAAAGTATCAGTTGCCATACCTCAAATAATATACTATACACATGTAAGATTGACAGAATAATAGCAAAAAGAAATACAACGCTATGTATTTATGCAAACTGGAATTACTTTCTTGCCACCCTAATAATAAATGTGCTTCAGTCCAATGCGCAATTATACGTTAACTTAAAACGCAAATTCATTAGCTACCATTTACTGTCACGAAGTCGCTCCAACAGCGCACTAGCCTGCCCCACACCTATTTGTCTCAATGACTTGACTTAAATAATCTATTGCACTTACATGCATGTGCAATACATGTGGCTAACATAGATGTGCAATTAAATTAAGCCGATCAGAACTGCAAATTATTAGCCATTATAGTTTTCTCCTGGGAAGTAATCATAAAATAAACAGTTGGGATAAATCACCATTCAAATCGCTCAAAATTCATTTTTTTATTTGCTGAGAATGTTATCAATGCCAGCAAAGCACAGCTGAAGACTATGCAAATGCTTTTAGCGTTTTAGTGAATGTAAAGTAAAAGTAATAAACAGATCAATCGCAAAACAAAAATAGATGATAAGAGCCTACTTAGAAATTAGTAGATAAGTGCATAACTTGATCTTTCCTACGATGAAATTGCAAGGTCAGTAGCTCAGATAGTGACTAATTGATGCGCACGAATATTTGGCTAAAAGTAAAGAAACAGAATCACTTAAAAGCAAACACGACAAGGTCATAGAAAAATAAAAAATGTATTGATGATAGAAGAATGAAAATTGTGGACGGAAACGGATCTTATCTGAGACCCTATGATGTGAATAGCGTGCAGAAGATATTAGCTTAAAAGGTTCCGATTTAAAAACAATACATTTGAATCTACAAAAAAATTAAGGATTGATCACAATGAAGAAAGGGATACATATAATAAGTGGGTAGAAGTTATTTGAAGCATTTTTATAGTTAGTTGAGCTTACACAAAATCCCTCCAACCAGTTCATCCTATGACAAAGTGGTGGCCATCCTCTCGGACTCCTAGGCGGAACTACGGGCTATTAAATCAGAGACCTATCCAATGCCCGAGGTAATCCTTGAATACCAAATTCTTTAGGAGAAACTGAGACTAGAAGGTAAAGAGATTGTATTACAATGGATTCCCAGTCATTAAGGCATTTATGGTAACGATTTTGCCGAAACAATGTGCAAAAAAAGGTATAGAAATTATTCAAAACTTTAGAGAAAAAGGACAGAAACTGTTCAAAAGATAGCTACAGATTTTCTTACCACTCTGCATAATTGTACGTTCATTAATGTTTTTAAACAAACAAACAAACAAAAAAAAAAAAAGATAGGTGAATTTATTACGTGTGTCTCAAACAAGAACTGGAGAGACATCTTAGAAAAAGAAATTATCACGGGGAAGAACTGTGGCCAGTTTTAGGCTTGAAACTGGTCTCGACTGATGGGCGAGCCATCATACTGGTATTCTTAACAGCCCAAAGTGCCCCCTTTGCAGTTTAAATAAATAATCCGCATTCGAAGGACACACATTGAAAAGTACCCACATCAGAGGGTGCCCAACGTTGCGGAGAATCTCTGAGGAGGAGAGGTATTGGAGCACTAAAGGCCAAATGATAAGCTACTGATTTTTTATGTTATATGGTTACAAAGTTCTGTTCCATTTGTATAGTGTTTGTCTTATTCTTTGCCATTGGAAAAATTATCTCTTGGGGAGGGACGCTTCAGCCGATGCAAGAGGCGAAACAACAAGTGCGGCCTCACCGAAACGCAGAAAGAAGCGGCAAAAATTTACAGGCTGTAATAGATGTAAATTTTTCTGTCCCGTCATAGGAGGTAACGGTGGCCGCCTGTTAGGTGCCCCTATAACAAAATGACCACCATTTCTAGCCTTCATAGTGGCGAAAACGTAAAAACAAAGGCTAGTGTCCGCCATTAAAAAAAGTTTACAGGCACCTTGCAGCAGAAGTTCTAGTTTCAGCCCTAATGGAATCTCCCATTAAACGACCATCGCTATGAAATGAGAAGGAGATCTATAACGTTAGATTAAAAATCGGTTATACCGGAAACAATCGGATTCTAGAGTTGTAACTCTGACATGTAACTTTTTTTAAGGTGGTATCCTAAGTGTTAATAGTAACAAGTATAATTTTTTCCTCAAAAAGAACTTAGAACAATTGAAATCTCTTCAATGTGCCATGCATACTTCTCAAAATCCTTATATACTTCTTCCTGTCACGTCCCTCCCTAGAGTTTTCGGAATATGATTTAAAAACTTTCTGATTTTTGATCTCAACAAAATATATACACAGAGATGGAAAGGGTCATTGTGTAAGTGAAAATGATATCAATGAAACTACGATTGGTAAGGGTTTTCTTTGAATCATGCAATACCGTCATATTTGTGCTGCTGTTTAAATATGATTTTAATGCCCTATGTTCTTTAATTAAGAGGTCTCCTCAAAAACAGTATATGGTGCATAATTGTTTCTTCCCGACTTTCAAAAAATAAAATGGTTTAAAAATAGAAAAAACATATGCGAGTAAATATGACATTCTCTTACTTACCAATGTAACTTGGTACTATAAATCCTATCAAGCCGGAAAAGATATTTATACATGTAACGCCAGTCGACGTCTCATGACTTTTCACGTATTTATGGATTAGAATAGGATGACGAACGAATGCAGATCCTTGAAGAGCAGAGTATAAAAACACACCACCTAAAATCATACCTTTACGTTTAATAAATGGCATAACATATGAGTTTGCTCCCTGAAGGATCAGCGTTGCTAACATGTAGTTCTTTAAGCCGATGAATCCACGATCTGTGATCCATCCCAGGCACAAACACCCAAAGAGATCTCCCCCAGAGACTGCTGCTAAAAGGTACTTGCCATCCATCTCTGTCAAACCCTTATCCATTCCAAAATCTACAACAGCTATGGCAATCGACATAAAGCTTAGTACATGTACTCCTCGGCAAAGGCTAATTAATAGAAACAGAGGATTGGTGTGAAGACTGATTGCTGTTTTGATGTGGCACCACAATTTATCAAGTTGTTCATTACTTTTTTGTAAGGAAATTCTATTGCTTTGTTCCTGACTGTGCATCCAAGCTGAGATTGAAACATACGATCCGCAGCTCTCGATAAATGAGGTCTCAACTTCTGGTAAGAATAATTCATTTAGTTTCCGAAGTTCTTGTAAAACTTCATGAACATGTTTGCGAGATGTAAGCTCAAAGTGGAAAAGTATTTCTTCTTCATCTTTTTCAAATAAATCATTCAGTTCAATAAGAATATAAAGTTTTTTTGGAATTTCGTAATAATACTCTGAAACTTTCAAGTTAAATACAATATCATTCGGAGAAGATCTTAAGCTCAATAAATAATTTAAATATTCATCCTTCCGAGCAGGATTTATTATTTCTTTTTCCCTATAAAAATACTCACGATTTTGTTTTACTTTTGTTTGGTAATCTAATAATTCTTTCTTAACTTCAGATACGAATGGTGTACAATTATTTAATGATTCTTCGAGAGAGCTATAGAGTTCTTCTAATTCTCTCTTAACAAAATCTTCCTTAAACGACTCTAACTTTTCCATTGGCACTGAATTCTGACTTTCACTTTGAAGATTATTTAAGCACAATAAGCGATAAACGGTATCTCCATTTTGCCGTAAGAAATTAAAATTAATGTTTCGGGAATGTACTGCTTCTCCATTCATATTATCAATCGCCTGAGAACCACTAGCTCTAACAACGCCATTTGTACCTTGAATTTCTGCATTCATTTGATCCTTTACGTGAGAACAGCCCATACTCGTTAAGTCATTTTTCTCCAGGTTATTATAAGCATCGACTTCATTTGTTGCCCTATGCTCACCGCTATGAAGAACAAGACTAGAATCGTCATTTGACTGAAAATTAAGAGCATCAGGACCGCTGTTGAGTGTCTCTTGGTTAGATCTGCTGGAACGCAGAGACTTTACTTCCCTCTGCAGCCAGAGTGGATCTTGAAGAACGATTGTAGCTGGAATCACTAGTAGAATAACAACTGCCATGACTAGGAAAGTAACTGGAATCCCATTGTTCGGAATAATTTTTTCCAAGATAAACGGGAAGAAAATGCCTCCAATATTACCCCCTGAAAATTCCAAACCAGTTGTTGAGATCTGACGTTTCGCACCATATTGCTCTGGGACAACTAGACTGATGTTGCTAGTGAAAGCCGTAGCCACACCTGTAAAAAATTCGTGCGTAAACAAAAATAATATCAGTAATAAAGAAAATGAAGAAAGAAACAAAATATAAAAAACAACAAGAAAAGAAAGTGAAGAAACTTATCCTCATAAATAATACTATATCCCAAAAATGAATACTGTGTACTGAAAAGCTTAACAAATGAAATAATATATGCAATATTTGCCAAAATACCGTAATTTTAGAGCTTGTTTGTTTGGTATTAAACATACATTTTATAAATAAGATATTTCCCATAATTGTAACTACATTTAAATAATGTCAGTAAAGCGATTTCTTCCACGTCCCATATAAAACTTTATGAATGAGATAAAGAAATGTATTGGGTAAATGAAACTGTTAAAAAAGCTAACTCATTTACACTTACAGATCTAGCATTTAATATCCTTCAGCGTACATAGCCTTCTGAAAGACACACTTTATAAAACAATGTTTCCCTTTGCTTAAAACTCACATAGAATTCTTTTTTGGTTTAGCGATCAGCTGTAGATTCAACATTTTGTGGAATTGCTGAATCGACGTATTTTGAAGGTATTTTTTGATTTTGCAACAATGAATGTCACAGTTAGCCGAAAATAGGTGTACTGTTGGATATGGTGATAGCTATAGAGATGGAAGAGGCGATGAGGTAACTACGAAAATAAATTTAGCCCAAGAGTTAATTGAAAGTTTGACGGTAGCAATATGAATGCTGATCGGCTGAATTCGTGATTAGATAAAAAAGATTGTGATCACTTTCTATGAAATAAAAATGAGGATAAAGAAGAAAAGTTTGCGATGATTTATTTCCTATCAAAAGCACTTTTCATAATCTATAATAATCATTTCTCCTTTTTAATTCCATGGAATATAATATTTTGGCTCAAGTAGCACCATATTTTGTTTGTTGCATCTTCGGACAGATCTGTGAAAATATATTTCATTATATTTGTGTTTTCTAGGAGTAAACATTTATTTACAAATCTCTAATTTATAACTGATAAACATTGCTCGTTTGTTATTGTAGAAAAAGACGTACGTAAGTTTAAAGTACATTTTCCTTTATATCTATAATCTATATACTATGACATATGTAATATGAAGCCATGTAAGTTTTATTTTTATAGCATTACATCTAATAAAGAACAGCATAAATATAATACGAAATTTCAGCAAAATATGAGCTTATTACTCAGTTATTTGTTAAAGAATTTTATTTTATTCTTAAAGATAATCTTACGGAATGGCATTTGAAAGAGAACTTGAGACAAAATTTTTCAGATATAGATTTTGCTATTAAAGAGTTACTTTAAAAGTTAGTACCAGTCTGCTTCTAAATAGTTTTAACACATCGCATTATATCTTTAATCTAAATTATGAAACTATCTGCGTGTATGTAAGACACATCGTTACGAATTTTGTACATATGTAAATAATTATAGTAAAATTATATATAAAATTGCAGTTTTTTTTGGGGGGGGGGTTGGTATTAACATAACTTGAAAAATCTAAAAAAGCGAAGCATTGCCGTAAAAATAAGAATGCAAGGGTAAGTCTGTTTAACATTGAATAAATGGCTATCTCGCCAAGCTGGTGACTGTTTTGGGAACTAATTTTTGTCCTCACATTTGGCGAGAAATTGCAAAAGGGGGCCAAACTTGGCGACATTTTGGTCCTGTCCATGTATAACTGTAACTGGTATTGTGACTGAATAAATGCGATTAACCTAGATATGTAACTATAACCGGCCCTCACATGCCTTCCAGTTGTTTCTAGAATTGAAGCATACTAGAGATTTCTCGGTGACCGGGGGAAAACTATATAAGACCAAGAGAGCATCAGTTTCTTGGTGTTTTGTTCAGCGTGAGTTCGAGTACTGAGAGAGATCTCCGAAAGAGCTACGCCTTTATAGATGCGCTTTGCACTGCATCGTGTTTAGCGTTCTTAGAAATCTGAAGTGTAACAACTGCTTGTGCTCTATGATACTGAAAAGAGCTGTACGAATATTTTTGTATGAAATTCCAGAGCTGTGAAGTGTTTCTTTTGATAAAATGGATTTTATCAAGCTAACATCGGTCCTGTATGCATTCGATATATTATGAACCAGTAGGAGCGTTATTTGAATCCGCATAGCTGAATTTTGATGCTCTGTTTCGAATAATGGAAAAGTCCATTATTATTTATTTTTTATGAATTTAAGAATAAGCAAAGGCTCCTGACCAACCTTCAGACCAAGCTGAGAAAGAACCAACAATTTGCCCAACTAAATAAGATCTTCTAGATTAACCATAATTCATGTCTCGGCAAACGGATTAGCTAAATGGTGTTTAGGCACTTTCAGGATTTTCCACATATGAAATTTGAATACATCCCAATATCCTCCATAAAGTTCTGCTTGAAAGCATCTTCCCATTAACCATGAGCTTTGTCGTAATATCTGTTAAAACGGGTGATAAAAATTATCTTCATATTTTCAATCTAAGTATTAAACTTAAGTTTCATTGGATAATTTACACATAATTATTTTTTATTGAGAATAATTTAAATATTTACAGGTAAGTCTGAAAGGAAATATGAAAATGAAAACTGACCATACAGTGCTCCCCACAGAAGAATCATCCAGTCGATATTGGTTGCAAAACTGCATGATACAGCACTAATTGCTGCTATGAGACCTCCTGTGATTGTTACTAATCGCATTCCACATTTTTGTCCAACGATTCCAACAACAGGTCCTGATGATCAAATTAAATTACATTTAATTTCTCATTTATTATCACTATAAATATAATTTGGAAAATTTTACTTTTGATTACTGTCAATAATAATAATAAAAAATCAACGAATTTTTAAAAAGCAAAACAGAATAATTTTCTTTCAACAACAGGAAAATAATAACTAAGTTTTTGTAAACATGATACGATACAGAGCTAAAGCTCACATAAATGGAATTTACGGAGCTAATTTGCTAACCTTTTTAACTAAGCAACAGTTAAATTTCGAATATAGTACTTGGGATATATCAACTTCTCATATTGTGCTAGACTAATGGTTCTTTACCTTTTTTGTTCTAAGCACTCTTTTCACCATTGCTAGAAGATCATCCCTCCTACTTTACAAAACTCCAAAAATGCATATACATTTGTTCAGATTATTTTAAAACTTTTTTTATAAATTAAACAACAAAAAGTATAGAAAATGTTGAACTCCCATAAGTTTTAAAATCCGTTCCCCTTTCCCAAAAATTGAAAATAATAAGGTTGCTTAGTGCATATTTTAAATATATTCCTCATGCTTAAATATACTTATTTTAGTACGCTTACAGCAATTTAATAATGCCAAGATGCCATAATCCTGGCATTATTAAATTGCTGTAAGCTGTTGATGTTAAGGAGTGTTTGAAACTTCTTAATATCAACAAATGGCTTTTCAATTTTAAGTTTAATTTAGATAACAGAAAATAAATAGAAAACACAAATCTTGCAATAAAAAGGAGCAATAGTTTCCTTGAAGACCTAAAATCACGAAATATCACAATCAATAACATGCTATATTGTAATGCAGACAGAACTTGTTAGGTTTTCCTTTGACATCGAAGACAGCGTGTCTTGCTGTCGATTTTATAAGAGCATCTTAGATGCTTTTGTTCACTTGCTGTTCGTGTAGACATAAAGAGAAGTTTTGGTAAATGTCTTTAGAAACTAGTTGTACTATCATTAGGAGTGAAATGCAATCTCTAGTTTATCTCTTTATCGAATGCATCTCTTTATCAAGGAATCAAATGCCATCTCTTTATCAAGGAATCAAATGCAATCTCTTCATCAGTTTCGATATGTCGACTACACACTTACTTAATGAAAAAGATAAATCTTTAAATCCTTATATTCTCTTCGATTTTAGGGGCGAGGAAGATACTGTTAATCGTTCTAGTCCATGGTGGTGAGAATAATTGCCCACTATGATATAATTTGAGCTCCATGGTGTAGAAATTAGGAGCATCTTAAGAGAGAAGAATCCAGAGATATTAGGTGTATGCTCACCGGGATTAAAACCTAAGGTCTTCAGTCTACAGGATTCTGTTTTGTTAACAGCTATACCGTAGGATGAATGTCTGAAAACTTTGAAAATGTTAAATAGTTCCTTCAAAAACTTTAAACAGAATTTGAATAGTAAACTCTTCCGGAATTCCATTAAAATCGAAGGAAGTGATAAGCATTAATTTAGGCATATCTAAGACAACTGTCTTATCCTATGAGAAACTCAAGTCCTTCCATCGAATATGGGATCTTCCTTTGTGGTTCATAATGAAAAACCCAATCACATCGTCGCCAATCGCGATTTTTTTCAAGAAATGGATTTCCCTGTTTTTAGTCCTAATTCTTATTTCTGCAAAGTTCCACTTTTTCTTGTTTTTGAAAACAACGGAAAAGAAATTTTCGTTACCATAAATTCTTCATTAAACCTTAATGAACATCAATGCTGCGATACTACTGAGGTCCACAATAAATATTACTGAAGTATGTAGCAAAATATGATGGATTTTTCAACTTGCTGTTAAGTGCTGGTAAAGCAAAAACGGTCAGTGTGCGTTGGTTATCATAGCAATCTTCTTGAGCCTTCTTTGTTTATTTAAAATGTTGAGAAACATTTCAATGCATTTGCCATATACTTATTTTAAAATATCATTCTAGAACATGTAGCAGTGTAACTAAATTGATGTGTATTCTCTGCTTTCTCATTTTTCGTCGTGACTGTTTTAGTGTTTTGATGTTGTTGTTCCTGTCACTTATAAGCAATGTATTTGAGTCTGGGAAATTTTTCCTGAAAGTTATGGGGCTGCCATGCATACGTGTAATTGATACCACTTTGTTCTACACTGCGGAAAAAAGTGTAAAGAATCTAGTGCATTTTTTCGAAATATGAGTAATCCAAAACCAAGAATTGAGTCATAACCAAAAGCTAGAACAAATTAGCACAAGAAATTTGTATTGTGTTTTCTTAACTTTGAGCAACAACTTTATAGTTATTTTATGTAGCTATAAATTTATACAGCTTGGCACTTACCAAGCAATTCGAAAGTTTTGAAGCATTTAATACCTCTAGCAGTTGAGCAATGCAAATGTCCACTCTGTAATAATAAAAAATTTTAACATAGTACTGCTATAAAAGTGCTCAGGTGTATTTTTTCAGGTATTGATTTAAGAATATTCGCAAATAACGCCTAGACACAGTCGGATATTGTGCAAAACTTGAAGACCTTTATCTAAAACCTAATTAATACAAAATAGTTACGAAGAAAATTACTGCATTTAAGGATTCCTCACTCATTTTGGCTAAAGTAAATGTCCAGGACCTAGTGAACTGTTAAACGACTTATCGCTGAGTTCAAATAACTAATGACGCACACTGAAGAAGGTTTAATTCACTAAATAAGATGAACAGTTAACCCTTTTCTTGGGCTTACAGAAAAGCCTCCATTCGGGCTTAAAATCAAAATAAGAAATGACAACTAAATTAGAACTAACTAAGAGACTTAACCGAAGATAAATTATCTAACGTAGTTGACCCTTAATTTGAAACCAGCAGGCGAATATTAAAAGGCACGTAATATACGGCCGAGGGTAACAGCTTCAAGAGAGATTTAGCCCTAAGGCAAACACGCGCTACTCAGTATTCCTCGCTCTCACAAAGCAAGTTCAAACTTCCTTAAATACTATTTCTGACTTATTTGTATTCAACGAGATTCTAAAAACCCATTCTGGCAGAGTTTTGTAAGTGAAAGCAAGAATTGATAGGAAAGGACTTTAAAATTTAAAATAACTGTTATAAAATTAAAGTATACCTTACAATATGAATAAATTAATAAATAGATTTACCTGTAAAGTTTCTTATGGATAGCTGAATGCTAAACGGAGTTGAAGCTGCTTTTCTGTTGATTTTGAACACTTTCATAAAGTCAACGAGCAGTATTCCTGATATTTTTCCAAATCCAATGATGATGCAATTGATGGCGAAAATGGCAAAAGCTACGATGCATGCCCGGCAGGCATCTGGACCTCTTAATGTTTTTATGCCTGCCCTATGAATGGAAATAAACGACACAATTAGTGCAATATAATTGGAACATTTGTTGTTTTTAACGATCTTTTTAGGGAACTTGAAATATGAACTTCGTTTAGAGGTTCAATTCAATATTTTTACTGAAATCTGAAAAAATAGAATATATAAATACAGCTGAACATTCTCGTGACGACAAGTGCTTTAAAACGATCATTTTTAGAAAATGGCGAACTTGTCTAATATAAATTTGCTTAGGATTCAACCTCATCTCTCTAAAGTGACCAACCCCCAAGGAAGAGGAAAATCGTTTGAAACCATGTAAATCATGTTAGAGAGAATTCACTGCAACTATGTCTAATAATGAAATAAAATTACCAAAAATATTTTAATTTTTATTAACAATTTAAACATAGGAAACTTGATATTTTTTAATTTTAATTTATAGTAATGTATTAAAATATCTGCTTTATAATATATCACATGACATAAAAGCAATTTACATATAAATAATTAACTCAAATAATCATAACTTTATTTTTGCATCTTCTCGATTAGTTCGAAGTAATAACCAAGTTATAATTCAAAAGTATTGTTCGATGCCTTAAAATGACTTTTTTAATAGAGGACAAAAATTTATCTAATCTGAACTGCATTTACTGAAGCAACATGTTCATTCAGTTACTTATATAACGTAAAACGTTTATTATTAAATGATTACATTAATATGATTTGCTACTTAAGTAAATATAAATGATCTTTTCTTATTAGCATCAATATTCAAGAAAGACTAATTTAAGTTGCAAGTGAAGCAAGTAAATCCTAAGACGACCACTTACGGTTTAAGATGATTTTGAATTTCTGTCGGAGTTCCTTCAAATTCTCCATCTCAGAGAGGTGATGCTCAATACCACTGTCGGCTTATTCTCTCAAAATACTGGTCATTTACAAAAATGGATCTTAGAGAGATGGTCTTTACGAAAGGATTCTTTGTGCATCGAATGTTAAAGCACATAGTATTATTTGATAGCATGAAACACTTATCACGTCCTATATACCCTCCTTGGAATGAAATAACATCATTCCATCGCCGTTCTTATTTTTTGAAGATGCACTCAAGGCCGTTTCTTGCAAGGTTCTTCAACACCTCTAAAGATTTTACAGGTGCTGGTCTACGTATTTGGTCTACGAACCAGACAATAACTGTAGACTCAAAAATTAGAGTTTTAGCCGCAGTTCTCTTTTCATCTAAGGGAATAAAAAGGAGCACATGAAGTAGTTCTTGTACTATAATCTCGCCCATACGTAACTGCATGCTTCTGCATAAAATCTTCCACGGTGACTGGAAATATGAACCTTGATTAAAAAAAAAAATGTGGTTCTTCTGTTCAGATGTACACATTCTGTAATACACATTCCACATTCAATTTCGAGCCTCGTGTTAACATCTGCTTTCAATAGCCACCAACTTGCAGATATAATGTTACTGACATGTTTATCAGTGTGAAGCACTGGGCACCCAATGGAATGATGTGTTATCGTAAATCGAAATATATAATATCCGTACAATGCACGAATGTAGTGTATGCAACGAAATATGTAATTCATGCAACAGAAGCCTCTAATGAAAGTATGTACATTATGTATTATGGGAACTGAGCATATTTCCGCACAGCACTACTGCTTTACGCACACCTTACTATGTCTTATATGTTTCCTCTGAGTGTAATATTTGCATTTATGTGCTCTACGTGTTTCCATATGTATTCTATGTGTCCTGATATGTATTTTCGTGTGTGTTTCTATGTCTTTATGTTACGTAATTACGAGTGTGTTTTTTTTTATGCTTTTACGTTTAATTTTGTATATCTATGTGTTTCAGCTTATATGAGTGTTTTAGTGTTTTTAATGCTATCCTTTATATCTTTCTAAGTTACTTTGTGTTATTAACAACGTCCTATGTAAAAACTACCCGACATCTAGCCCCTGTATGGCCATGTAAACTCCTGGTGCAGCCTCACGGGGCTCCAGCGAGTTGCTTCTTCGAGATAGTGGAGGACGTGGGACATATGCCTGTTTACCTATGTTATACGTCAGGCGTCCCCGTCCTCCGTCACCTGTCACCTGTTCAGAAAGTATACCTTACAATTATAGATTATAGTTTACAATTATAGATTAATGTAGTATTAGAGATGAGATTCGACAAAAAATTAAAAATTTTGGTTCTAGGGCTGGAACTTCCAAAAAATTTCCAATTCTACATTTCTAGAAAACTATTCGAGATTCAAAACTCGAACCAACGTCTTTTTTCTGTCATTCGAATCTTTCAAATTCTAAACTAAATATTGCTAATCATTTTGAATCGGAATTTTGTAAAGATTAGCATTAATGACATCTAACAGAAACATTCAAAATAAAGATTGTTATTTTTTCAGTGAATCCGAATCTATCAGAGTTACTACGTTGGGGGCCTGACTACATACTGCTAATTTTCTGAAAAGAATCGAGAGTTTCATGTTAAGTATATAAGGTATTTCTTCCGCTTTCTTAGGATGCCTTCGCGGTGCAGTGGTCAGCACAATCGGCGCGTATTCGAAATGTCTGTGGTTCGAGTTCCGGCGAGGCCATTCCTCATTTTTCATGTCTTCTGCTTCGAAGTGAACTAATGTCTCTACAATAGCGCCTGAACTAAAAAAGGTGGTGGATAATGATTCTTCACCGCCAGGATTTGGCGATTGGGTCCCCTAATCCCCAGTCACCCTTTAAAATGGGGAGTATATAAGGTATTTCTCCCGTCTTCTTAGCATGCCTTCGTAATGTAATGGTCAGCACACTCGGCGCGTATTCGAGATGTCCGAGGTGTTCGAGTTCCGGCGAGAGCATTGCTCATTTTTCGCGTCTCCAGCGTTAAAATAACCTAATGTCTCTACATGTATGCCACCCAACCAGGATATGATTAGTGACTCTAACTGCCGTACCGAAAGGCCCAGGTTCGAAACCCCTAGAAGGCATAGGTGTTTCTAAATGTATAGTACCTGTTAGACATGGGGGCAATCTAAATATGCGGCGAGTCGAAAGTCCTCTCGAGAAGTTGGGGTAGGGGAAGAGCCTGGGAGACCCACAGACCCGTCCCCCCTGGCACTTGCGGATTGAAAATTTATTAGAAAATGAAACCGCACTTAACAAACTATGACAAACCATAAAATATTGTGCAGCACAATATGCCGGTTGGAACTAAACTCTTTCTACCTTTCTTTTCTTCGTCAAACCTGTAACCTATATACGAGTATCTGATCAGAAATTCTGTTGTAGCATCTTGTGGTCCTGAAGGAGTATTGTTTTAATGTATCTGTATAATATATTCTTAATAATGCTTATAATACTCTGATTGTGTCAACTGAATAGTATCGCTGTACTTTTGTTTCCCTAATTTTTGTACTCCTAAAAAAACACGTTTAGTGTTTTTAATCTAATACATTTAGATGACCAAGCCAATCATTTTATATTTTGTTTGTTTCCCTAGTATCTTATATATATACTAATAATATATCTAATTTATAACTGGTAATTGTTTTGTACTTTAATTATTGGGTTCACAGCTTCCTTGTGCATATTTGTGTCTATGTAATCAGTAGTATATTTGTTGTATTATACTTTTCCCTATATTTTTTTGTTTTAAAGAAACTAGAAAGTAGATGTTATCCTCTACAAGACCTATAAGGCAAATTTGTTATTCTCTGTTCAACAATTACGCAACTTCTAGTGTATGTAGCTATAGTTTTATAATAAGTGCATTTACTTTGGTCATTTGAATAAACTGATTTTAATCGGTTCTGTTGTAACTGTTTGTTTATATAAAAGTGAGAATCTGGTATTTAATTCATAACGGTATCTATTAACCTTGTGCAACTGCAAATTTTGCATTTAATTAGTAATGTGCTCCGTTAACCCTTTTACAAAGTAACCTCTTGAAACTGTTTAGTAAAATGAATCTTTAGTAATTTCCATTTTTCCAACAAATGGTTAATTTAACTGCTAAGCTTAGTAAGACTTAACAAATAGCTGTATTTAACATCCTAGTATCGAAAATGTATATGTAAAAATGTGTATTTAAAACTGTATGTATATGTGGCACTGTAACCTTTTCGAGAATTGTTAAAAATGCCATCCTGCCTGCTGGCTGTAACCATGGATACAGCTATTAGATGGCATCTGCCAACATGATAATTACACCGAGAGGCTCGTTAAGTCATAGGGTCGGTGGTAATTTTGGTAGTGTTTCTGGGGTGCTCTGCTTCAAAATTGGGGCATAAGTGAACAAAGTCTTACTGTCACATGTATGTTGCCCAAGGCTCTTGCCAATGACAGGCTCAATATTACCACCCTGACACAATGAATTTCGTTCGCTTGCTTTGATATCAGACAAGCAAGATTTGTCACAACAACAACAACAACAACGATGTTAAATGTTTTTCTACATTAACGCTCCAAGTAATTCTCTTCTTATTACACTCCGTTTAATTTTTAAATATTCTGGAAAAATATAGAAAAGTCTAAAACCTGACTAACTGGATTTTCTGTAGCCCCGTATGATGGTTTAAGCATTTTATACATTTCTGTCAAGGTGAAAGGAGAACTGAATATTAAAATTTTTTTCATAAGCATAGGCCTTTTTTCAGACATCTAAATTTATAAGTTAAAAGAAGTTCGTTACATTACTCTGGATAATGAGAATTACAAGAGGTTCTCCTTGAGAAAAACAGCTTTGCAATTTTTTCATTCACTTCGTTCCTTTGCCAAATTCGTCAACAATTTTTCATTTCATCTATATTATTTTTCTATAAAAAAAAAGAGTATTCTTTACTGAAGAGACAAAGTAATTCATTTTTACTTCTTTGTACGAAGTAAAGAAAGTATTTTAATGGCAGAAAATTTCGGGTATCATATTTCAAAGAAATTATCCATTATGACCACTCCCGAATACATTTGGATTTTTTTTGTGTGACATCTGTACGTACGAACAGAATAAAGAAATCTTTTTCTCAAAACAGACTTCAAAAGGGTTGGAATCAAAAGGGTTTTTTTTTCTTTTTTTAAGTCTACGTCTATACGTAATGTATGTATGTATCTCGCATTACTCGAAAACGATTAACCATAGAACATTAAAATTTTGTATAAGGGACTATTATAACATATTGTTGTGCACTTCCCCTTTTTTATTACACTTGGGAATACCAAAAGTGTATATATATGTAATAAAACTGCGTTATTGTTGAAATAAGACTATATGACTTGGTAGATGAAAATTGCAACAGATTGGCGCTGCTCTCTGCATCATAACTTGAAGATAACTTGATACGTAGTTAGCAAGATGACACTCCAAGAACACACATAACGGTAAATTCTACACATAATTTTATTTCTTGGATAATGCACATTATCTTATTATTATGTGGGTGCGCTATGCAACCCTTAATTTTGTTAAGCTTACATCTTAAACAATGGACAAGTTTAGAAAAATAAACTTTGCGTGGCTAGCGAGACAGCGGAAAGCAGCAGAAGACACGAGCGAAGAGAAGAAGACATAATTGACCTTTTATACGAATTCCATTTCTGGTCACATGCCAATTTAATGCACAGGTGTTGAGTTCAGACTTCATCGGTAAGGGCGCAATACAAATTAGTTGACGGATCATCAAGCAGCTATCGTATTTTGTTATATCTTACACACATACACACACACACACACATATATATATGTATACCCTTCCCTTAGCCAGCTTAAAATTCCTTACTTCGCCTTTTTTTTCTCAGTCGTTGATCATAGTCATATATTCCCAGTTACAAAAGAGTTTTAAATGAAGAAAATATTCGTGTTTTGGCAATATCAAATTTAAAAAAAAAAAAAAAAAAATTCTTGCGACAAATAACGAAATCTAGCTTTTATGCGATCTCACGTTCCCTATGCTTATATTGGGATACGTTTTATACTGATTAATGAAAAAATAAGATTAGAAGCAGTCAGTTTGACTCTTGTGAAAAAAAAATTAGCCAGTATATTTAACCCTTTATGTCCCAAATTACAACACTTTTTTATAAAAAGAGTTTGAAACTGTTTTTATTATATTTCTTTATGTATGAGAAATATTTCGTATTAAACTTACAAAAATGCTATAAGTTTTGCATTGCTTGTTTTTAAATTTAAACTTGGAGCTTAAAAGTCCCGTTGGGACATAATTGAGAAATTTTATTATTGATTGTATTTTAAAGTCCCGTAGGGAAATAAAGGGTTAATTTACTTATTGCTTGTTTAGAATATGTAATAATTAACTTCCAGAAACAAATATCTAAATGCCTTATGTTATTATTATTCAGCTATACTTAACTTTAAAACCATGTTTCAATAAGTAGCATATTATGATTGATTTCAAACCTATTAGTTGCATTCTTCAGACTCAAAACAATAACTACATGACTTAATTTCTAATCCATAAATATTAGCTACTTTTACCTCAATATCGAAATATCCCTCCTTATACTTGGACACAGAACATTATCTTCTTTGATTCCAACAGCTGTCGTTGATTCCTCCATTTTCAAAAAGATGATATATGGAAGAACATAACATTATAAGTCTCCAGCATGACGCACTGAAATAAACTGAGTATTGAATATAAGTCAAAATATAAATATGGTGTTTTTCAAAAGTAACTTAAAAACTTGAAATGTTTAAAATTTCCAAGAAATGTTTATTACACTAGAAATAATGGTCTATTGTAATTAAACATTACTCTGTATGTGTATCTTCTTGATTCGAATGGGTCTTATTATATCTTTGCAGTTCCTAAAACTAAATTTTATTCATATATAGGATAAATAAACTTTTAGAAAACACACTTATTAACAAAAATTTCGAAAATTTTTTAATACAGACGTCTATAAAAACATTTAATTAGTAATAGAGACTAGAGATATGTTAACAGTCTTCTTCTAAATTCCGAATTCTCGCCACAAGAATTTTCTTACACGAATCTAAATTACAATTGATTGATTCTTAAAACCGATTGCAAGACATTATCATTTCAAAGGACTGAAGTTCAACAATTAATTCAGATTGAATCCTACCATTCTACTTTTATGCAGGTAAGTATATTTCTTAAGTATATGGGCACGTATCATAAGCCTCCTACATAAACATATGTGAGCATAATATAACAAAAAAGAACCCGTAGAAGACCAAATGTTAAAGATGCTAATACTTAACATCAACATTGGATGTGGAAGTGCATAATTTTGCAGAACTATATTTTTGAAGTTTAAATATAATTTTCTTAAACATTTGAAACTGAACTCCTGAAAATTTACTCAAGTTACAAACTTTTTTTTCGGCTAATTATTGAAGGTACTGGATCACGATTGCAGTGACGGCTTTTGCAGAACAAATACTTCGCGTTCCGTATACTCGACCCTGCCAATGGACGAGTGGTTAAGACCGTTGAATTCTGCAAGTTCGACAGTGTTCAATCCCAAATGAATGAAATGATATTAAGAATTTTGTGGTTTCTCCACATGCAACGGGAATACGACACAATTTCCATTAGAAATTCTTCTACGAAGGAATCTTTCTTCTTAGGCAGATAGCTCTCCTGTGCTTTACCATACTCAAAAAACCACCAACCGTTTACTCGTTGTAGTTTCCTTGTAACTTATTTATTGAACCTGGATGTCCTTGTTTAAAGGTTTGCCATGCTATGCATTTGTACTATCACAGACAATCTACGCTGAGCCTATCAACAGCAGCACGTAGAACAGTTCTCATCGGCTCGCTGGGTACTAGTATGGGCAACAATTAAATACTTTAGATTCTTAGCAATCTTACTGTGAGAATTCAAAATAACTATAAAACAAAATTTGAATTGTGTTATTTTTGCTTTTTTTTTAATTAAAAACACAAGCAATTCCCCATGCACATGGACTTACAGAAATAAGTATGAAACACAATTCAGAAAAATAAAAAGTAAAGGAAATTTTTATTAAAAAAATTATGAAGGATTACAATAATTTACAATGAATTTACAAAATATTGAAAGGCATTCTCTCGGAAATAAACTGCTGAAAATCTGAAAGCCAGTTAATATTAACATTTTTAAGTGTCAGTTTTAGGATCTTTCTTTCACTGTCAAATTTGGAACAGAGAAGAAGAGCATGTTCAACATTTTTCTCGCCACCGACGCTGCAATCGTAAAGAGTCTCTGGACCCAAATTAAATCTGCTCAGTTAATTTTTAAAGTTACCATGGCCAGTAAGGAATTGAATCATTTTTTAACTTGTAAAAAAATGATGACATGACAATCTCATTTTGTTGGAAGGAAAAAATCTCTTAGCAAAGCTCCCTTTATTTTAACCGACGTGTTTTTGATTATACTACTCTATAATTTTCAATCATGACCTTCTTATAAAAGGATTTACGGTGAGTTTCGCACTTCGTGGCAGTCTTCGCAAGAAAATTGGCTCATTCATTCCCAACTGCCGTCTGTCCACGAACAAATGCAAAACCAACCGAAATGTCTTTATCTTTTACTTTGTTTAGTTTAAAATTCAAAACTATTTCATTTATTAAACCTTTAAAATAATGCATTATAGATATACTTTACTTCTATTTCTATTTAGTGAAACCAAATGTAGGGTACGTAAATTTTTCTTTATCCAAAGAAAAAATTTCCGATTGACTTTCTAACACTTCAAAGGCCTTAGATATAGTAATCATTCATAGTTACACAAAATTTACACATTATCTGAAATAGAATTTAGCATTAGAATAGAATTTAGCTTAAACAAGACAAAATGAAATTGTAATTGAATTACTTACCCTAAATTATCACGAAATTTTCAATACCAATTGATATAAACAATGGAAACAATTTACAAAACTCAGTGCGAAGTTAACGAGGTATATTTGTTTTCTTTCGCCGTTTCTCGTTTTGAATAGTCACACAGACAGCAAAGCAGTCATAACTGTCGCCGGAAATGAACCACATCCAGATTGGCAATAAGAGGACGCGCAGTGAAATTAACCAAAGCCACTTGAAAATACACTTTTTTTTTTTTTTTTTTTTTGTTGTTGTTGTTGTTCTGTTTTCTTATTGAATCTAATGACGTGAGTGATGAAAACCCTTACACTAATCACGTCTGCAAAATTTATCGTTTCTAGACAAAGTTGGCGTTGAAGAATGAAGCCTCATCTCCTTGTTAAACGAAAACCTATTGCAAATGGAGAATGCATTCAATAATTAATTCGGTAGATGAACATTTCTTTCCAACGGGGAATTTATAGCAGGCACTGAATATTTTTTCACAGGTCAATATTAGTTGAACCTATCTTATATTTAATATTAAAATCATGCATGGGTAATTTAAATGACTTTCAAAAAATATGTTGGATGCTTTGTATTTTCGAAACAATAGGTAAGATAAGGTACTAACTCTAGTCACTTTTCTTTTCAGTCCTAAAAATAGTAATTGTTTATAATAAATATCTTTAAATTGCGTCAAAATTAATGTTTCTCGCATGGTGTCCGCAAAACATCGCGGACGAAAACGTCCCTGAGAAAACAACGCAAGGCGAAATCGTCGTGATACAAAACATCCTGGGAGAAAATAAAGCAAAGAGAAAACATCGCAGTACAAAATATCGTGCTCGAAAATAAAGCGGTTCAAAAACTTCCCAGTTTAAAAACATTGTCATCGAAAATATCGTGGTAAAAAATAAACTACAAAAATTATCGCATGGCGATAACATCGCACACATGCGTTTTTCAAGTTTTAAAAGCCGGAAATTTTATAATCGCATAATAATTGGGAAGCACAAGAAAGAAAGAGGAATATTTTTATTTCTATATTTCATATTTTTGGATGGAACTAATGAATTTTTGTTGAAAACGTAAGAAGGAAACTTAAGTATTTAAAAATTGTAAATGAGTAGAAAATTAATGCAACTTATAGCACTTAATAGAATTTTAAATTTATATAATTAACTAACAAAGGTCATTAATAAATTAATCTTTTTTTTATTAAGTTTTACTGTTAATTTTTCATGAAAAATACAGTCTAAAGTGATTAAAAAAAGGAAGATAAATAACTGCATGAGGTTACCTCCATAAAAATTTCTTAGCTAATTATCAACTTATTTTCTTTCACGTTTGTTAATCTAATATTGTTTTAGTGAAAAATTATATCTTATTTTGTTCCCGTTTATTCTTAAAGTGTCGTTAACATTTTCATGTATAGTGAATCAAGTATTTGGATGCCAATTTCGTATTTACGCCGAAAGTCAGTTACATAATATGTCAGAATGCAATTTAAATTTATTGGATTAGGCTAAATCGCAATAGGGCTATCCGCTTAAGAGAAGGGATGCCTTTGTAGAGTGCTTTCTAGGAACTAGCACATATTCACATTATACATTAGGAAAATCACGAAAATCTCATGCAGCTAGGTCCTTCGCCTGATCGAAATACCAGTGTTCAGCGACTTTAACGCTCGGGCACTGGTGGCCAGCTCAGCGGAGGAATATTAAAGGAAACTAGCTCGTTTCTACATCAATCATTGGAAGACTCGTTTAAAATTATACTCCGAAAATTTATATACAACCTTCTTTTTTTTAGAAATAATATATATTTGCAGGGAACCCCTCTCAGAAATACTAATATCTTTCTATCTAAGATGAGTAGTGTTTTTGAGAACAGAAATAAACATAGGTTTTAATTGTTATGGAGGATGAGTAAAATGATATGGTGGAATCCTGAGCGGTCGATTTGAAAAGAATTCTTTACATTTAGACATTTCTTATAAGCACTTTAAAAGTAGTGTTTAATTTTGTGGATACATTTTATTTGAAAATGTTTTAGTTATTGACTGAATTTTTATAATATACAATGAAGCAGCTTCCTAAGACGAACACCTCTGTCAGTGACCAGTGTAGGTATGAAACTTTGGTATCAAATTTCATCCTTCTAAGATGACCACTTTCATAGAAGAGTAAATTATTTCGAACCGTAAATGATCGCGTTGAACTTAGCTTTAAAGGGAATTTGTCGATTATTTGTCGATCATTTTCAGTGATTTCAATCATTTCATGTCATTTTCAAATTTTAAGTACTTAGGTTTCCTTCTTACTTTTTCAAAAAAAAATTATTACATTCAAAATATGAAATATAGAAACAAAAATATCGGTCTTTCATTCTTGAGCTCCCAAATCATTATGCGAAAATGTAATTACGGTTTTTAAAACCTGAAAAACGCATGTGCGCGATGCTATCGTCATGCGATGATTTTTTGGAGGTACTTTATATTTTACCGCGATATTTTCGACGCCGATGTTTTTAAAATGGTACTAGAGTAGTACCAACACCCGAGGGCGAAGAAAATTCAACTGCGTGAGCGGGCATATCTAAATACTTACGAAATTAGGCGTTCTTCATAATTTGTGCAGTGATAAGCATGGCATAAAATTGAAGCTTGCAAGCATATGCAATGAGTTATATGGCAAGAAGAGAGAGTTGCGACGTGATTGAGCTTTTATACGAATTCCATTTCAGATCACATGACAGTTTAATGTCCGGATGTTGGGTTCAGATTTTATGGATATGGACGTAATACGGATTAGATAACGGATATTTTTCGTTTAAAAAATATATTGCTCTGTTACTACTTCCTTGTACGAAGTAAAAAGGAATTATTGTAATCGCGAAAAATTTCGGATATCATATTTCAACATAAATATCCATTTTGACCGCTATCGAATGCAATTTAACGATGTTTTTGCGTGGCATCTGTACGTAAGAGCAGAATAAAGGACTCTTTTTTCCCAAAAAATTATAAAACTGATTTAAAATGAACCCTAAAGAGATTTTTTTCGTGGCGTCTGTACGTACATACGTATGTATGTATGTATCTCGCTTAACTCCGAAACGAGAAGCCCCAGAACGTCGAAATTTTGTACATAAGACTGCTATAACATGTAGATGGGCATCTCTTATTTTGGTTGCAATCGGACTCACCAAAAGTATATATATATAAATATACACTCTGTTACTCGACTCAGTGAGCTCAGTTTCTTTTATTCTTGCATGTTAGTAAATTGTGCATTTTTGTTTTAAAAATGATTGAATTAAGCAGTTCTTATCTTCCGGTTAAGGTTTTTATGTCTTTAGTTAACGTGCATGCAATAATTGTGAAATTATCAATAATTTTTAAAATGTTAAGTGTGGCTAGGCCTAATTTTTGTTTAGCATGGTAGCCATATTTGTTTACATTTGAAACTTAGCAGAAAAGTGGATTTGTTGCCTATCTAGAGAAACTACGCTTCGCAACAACAAAGTAACGTTCGCAATGATAAAAATTAAATTATGCTTTGTTCATTCTGGAATTATCATTTAAGTTATTAGCTTAGTTTGGCGTAGAAGCTGTAATTTTAATTGTAAAAATTGTGTAACTGTATTTGGTGTTTTATGTTTTTCTATAGCTTTCAAATTTTAATGAAAATATTTCGAATTTTTATGTATTTTTGCCTTACCGCGAAGTGAAAATTGAATTAATTAGTAGCGCATGCGAATTAGGTAAGCGGCGCTGAACCGTCTGCAAAAAATTGTTTCTTTTTAACTTGTTTAATTTGTTTTTTACATCGTATCAGAATAATTATAGTATTTGAAGATAATTTGTGGTAATTCTTCAGATGATATAATTTTTGTGCACTCTGAGTTATAAAATGAATGTTAATGCTGTTAAATGAACGTAGCGCCAAAGTGTCGCTGTGGTAAATAAATATAGTGAACTTTAAAGAGTGTATTTATTCTATTGTGGCTTATGCGCTTTCGACGAAGTAGATTTAATTCAAAATTCGTTTACTGTTAATTCAGTATGTTTAAGTGAAACGCAAGAAAATTGTGTATAATTTAATATTCCGTATAAGAAGGGCATGTGACGTACACATCAGATTTTTTCATTTTACCAAAATCAAAATTAAACCTAAACTTGAGTTACTAACATTCAGTTTCAAACCACTGCGTGCTGACTTCAGGAAACGTACACAGCAGCTGACGAAAGTGAGTTCTCTATAATGAGTTTATGTAATGAAGTTCCAGAAATAAACATAAGATATTCGAAAATAAAATTTTTGCCTTCTGAAGTCAGTTTTCTAAATGAATATAATTTCAAAAATCCCATTTTAAAAGATTTAGCGATGATGAATCCTGAAATTTGAAATTCGGAATATGTTTGCAATATAATGCTACTTGTTATGAATTTTTCGAATGTTATAGAAAAAAATAATTATGGAGCGTTTCGCAAAGAAAATTAAGTATTGAAAGCCGTAGAAGCATTGAATAAGTGTCAACGATTCGCTTTCTTTTTTTCCCCTTAAATGAAAATTCTCAAGAAAACAAATGTTTCCTAATTTAACAACTTTAGATAAAACTGTATTACACCTTTCTCTTTCATAAGCCGTGACTGGACTATTTACAGTGGCGGCAAAAAATTCTGAATAAAATACAGGAGTTAGTAACAAATATTTTTGCGAAATGGATTCCCTTCAACAGGAGGGAAGAAACTTAAAACATTCGTAAGCTGCAGATCTTATATTTTTGAAGTATTCATTATTTTAGCAAAATCTAGTAAAAATAATTAATAAATTATTCCAGTGTTTCTTCTTCAATATACCATCATAGTAGATTAAATAAAGGAAATAAAAGAAAGAGAAAAATAGGAAATAGTAATTTAACACTTTTCTATCAGATTTAGTATCTTTTGCTTACGTACGTTAGAGCAAAATATTTTTGTTGGGACTTTTCTCTATGATTCTGAAACTTTCTATTTAATTTTTGAAAACTTACTCAAAGTTTTCTAACTTATATTGTAGAGATGACATCCTTGATGCTTATGTGCACCCTTATGCCGGGGAAATAAGTGATAATTGCCTGCTACAGGGCGACAACGCTAGACCGCATAGTGCTTGCAGCGTTGATGATTATCTTCAGCAGCAAACAATTAAGGGCATTGATTGGCTAGCTCGATCACCGAACCTGAATCCTATTGAGCACGTTTGAGATGCTTTAAGAAAACGTATAGCTGCTCTCAATTCTCAACTTTAGACCCTTGCCACGCTTGCAATTGCATTGCAAAAGCAATGGCTCTCAGTTCCTACGGAACTGCTTAACTGACGGCATTGCACATTGCTGTATGTGTTGTATTGCTTCTAAGGGAGATCATACTCTATATTGAAGGTAATTTTCCTATATTAAACTGGCACATCCTATCTGTTCATTTTATACATATGCTAATTACTATAACACCATAACTAACTGGTGGTTTCTTTTCATGTTATTTTATATCTTACTATGTGTCGTATACTAGGGGCCAGTTTCTTAAATTCTACATATAACTTTTTGAATATTGTCATTTTTGTGTTTTTTTCTTAATTACTGATAACCAGCGTAATTTCCATTCTGGCGTGGAAACGGAAAGTAACCGGTTATTTAGAATAATAAAATCCATGTAGACCTGTTTTAAAATGAGCGGACTGTATGGCGTCAGAAAATAATGCATTTTCGTTTACTAAAAAATTTCATTTAAAATGAGTTTCACTCCAATAGCAGATTAAAAAACATTAATTATTACGTAAAATTATAAATATTAAAAAATTCCTATATTATTTTATAACTACTCCAAACTAGAAATATGTTTAGTAGATCAGTACTTTGGAACCAGCAGTGAAGCAGAACTCTTACCTTTAAAAGTAAATCGGGAAGTTCCTTTCTGAGAGTTTTATACATGCATATTCCAAAATAGTTCGAAATATTCACAGAAAGACAGGTTCACCCTTATTCAGTTATCAAAGAACTCAGTGTTAACGTAAAGAATGGACAGATTATTCATTCAGGAGGTGTTCACGTGAACAAAATGAAAAAACCGGTTGAGATAAATGATTTCGAATGTCATCCATTTCTTATGCAAATATTCAGAATGCTATACCAGATTTTAATACTTGTTTTCTGAAGGTCCTTTTCAGTCCCGACAATGAATTTACATATAATAAGGAATTTTGTTTAAAATTCTCAATTACTGTAAATAAGCTGTAACTTCATATTATTTGACAGAAACTAGATATTCTAAATTTCTTCAGATTATTTTCATCTAGCAACATAAAATTTAACACAAGGAAACAAAACTTAAATATCAAAATTTTTAAAGATATCTATAAATAAAATTCAAGTTAGCCATATTAATGATTATAGGTTGCCATACACATCGCTAGGTATCGCTATCTATCTCTATATATATAAGCGAAATACCACTAACTAATCACGAGATCTCCGAAACTATAAATCCGACTGACTTGAAATTTTGCATGGTTACTCATTGCACGATGTAGACGCGCACTAAGAACGGATTTTACGTAAATCTTGTCCAAAATAGATTTTTGTTATATAAAAAAAGTTTCTCATACATTTGTTTTTCAAATCCAAGTTCAGAACTTTCTTTTATCGTTGCCAAAACTAGATATGAAATACAATGTTGCCATTTTCCTTTAAAATTATTAAATTGGTATATAACTTGCATCTATCCAATGAATACAAACAACATTTAAATGATAAAGCTAATAATGATATTTATATTCAACTGTTATCATAAGTTTATTGAAAATAAATGTTATTATTAAGAGAAATAAATTATTGTGGTGAAAAATAAATATGATGTTGTTATTTATAAAATTATAAAATTAAAAAAAATTATTATAATTTTTTATGTATTTATAAAAATACATAAAAAATCAAGGACAAATAATTATAATTGATTAAAAAATTTGATAACAAAGATAATAACATTTATTTTCATGAAACTTATGATAACAGTTAAATATATTATAAGGTATTTCTCCCGCCTTCTTGGCATACCTTCGTGGTGTGGTGGCCTGCACGCTGGGCGCGTATTCCAGAGGTCCATGGTTCGATTCCCGGCGTAGGCGTTTGGTCATTTTTCAACTTTCCGGCTTTTAAAAAACCTAATGTCTCTATAGAGGCTCCCGAACTAAAAAGGTGGTGGATGATGATTCTCAACATCCAGGATTTGGCGATTGGGTCCCCTAAAATCCCCAGTCGCCCTTTAAAAGAGGCCCACCTTCTTAGCATGTCTTCGTGGTGCAGTTTTTTGCACGCTGGGCGCGTATTCCAGAGATCCATGGTTCGGTTCCCGGCAAAGGCGTTGCTCATTTTTCATTTTTCCTCTTTCCAAAAATACCTAATGTCTCTACAATATATCAACCGTAGTTTTTATGTTGGCAGGTTTTCGTAATGTAGGAATACTGGGAATACCAACACGTTAAATAATGGGTCGACTCTCAATACACAGTATCTCATGGGTGATGTGGAAATCTGTGTATGTAGATTCTCTGACTGGCTACATCAATTATCAATTAGAAATTAGACATTTGGCCATATAAAAATGTCTAGGTTCACATTCAAATAGATAGTGTGCCCAGAAAAGCGGGCAGGTATCAGCTAGTTTAATAATAAATCATTAGCGTCATACACAACTTTTACTAAGATATCATAATATTTTTTTTAATTAACAAAAAACTCTTTTATATTTATATATTAACAAATTCAAGGATTTCAAAGCCAGCAATGGCAATGACGCTGTATAGAAAAAAACATTTTTATCTCCAACGCGTGAGTCTCTGTATCGGAAATTCTAAAGATAGGCTCATTTCAAAACTATTTTGCGATATTGCTGTTGAACTGAATTTTATGGTTTAAGTGCGAAGGAACGTAATATTTAATAAATAAATGTAACACACAAAATGTTAAAAAAAAAACGCCCCTTTGGACGTAATTTAAAATCTGAAACATTTCAGATTTTCTTTTTTGGTTTAATATTTTTTCAAATGATATTTGATGGTTTATTATTGATATGTTATGTGCTATTGAGTTAAATTAGATGAACATATGTGATATGTTTATTGGCTTATAGTAAATTATTTTTTATTTCGATACCAATTGAGAGGTCATATATACTGATATAGCTGCCCAGACTATACCGTCTGCTATAGTTAGGGAAGCCTGACTGCGATACCGAAGGGCCCGGGTTGGAATCCCGGAGAAGTCATGGATGTAAAATCGTCGGTCCCTTTGTAGGAGGTAACGGTGGCCGCCTATTAGGTTGCCTCCACAATAAATTGGCCACCACTTCTGGCCTTAGGAGTGGCCAATGCTGTTATAAGCAAGTGCCTGCCATTGAAAAATATATATATATACACTTGTATAAATGTAATAGTTTATCTTATACCCCTTGAAATGCACAAACTATATTGTTCTATCTTTTACATAGTTTAAACTGACAAAAAGTTAACAATGAGCAAATTGATCAACACCAAAGTTCATTTTAAAGGACCCTAAATGAAAAATAACCGAATACCGATAATTGGAGCTCTGAATAGTTCCAGTTCGGATAAATGGAGTTTTACTGTATTTTCCACTAACTAGAACTGGTAAATTGTGCAGAATTAGAACAGCTGACAAAAGAAAGCACATTTTCCAGCTCCGAGATAATGGTCAAATGCAACAGTAATTTGTAGTAATAGTAAATGTGTGATCCTTATTCTGGAGGAGCCTTTTGGGCGACCGTTAAAATCTGAAACGTTTCAGATTCTTTTAAATTCAATTTAATTTTGTTTTATTTTATTTTATTTATTTTGAGACTTCAAAGAAAATTTAATTTTGGTCGTAAAATATGCATTAAAAACATATCTAAGAGGATAAATTTTTCTTTATCTTCTCCGTGGTTTTTGCACGTTAAGTTATGGAACTTTTGTGTTCCAATGTTCCCATGAACAAAGAAAATATTTTTTCAAATTCAATGCAACAACATGAACGTATAATGCGTAACGTCAAATGACAGCACGTAATAACAACAAAAGTGTAGAGTCTGTGACGCATAACGAAAGCACTGAAGTAAAAGGTTCTGCATCAGATAGTACAACCGTTTAATAACTAGGTTAAATCATTGTAACTTCATTTTCTTAACTAGTGGATCAAAAAACTTTCTTAACTAGCTGCCTGTTTGAAACTTTAATTCTAACAGTCCCCTTACCTCCAGCAACTTTCACGATTGCGTCGCAACACATTGACGTTATCTCGAGGTAAAGTTCCACAACGCTCTAGTATAGGAGATCATTTTACATTTCAAACACATTTTGTTCTCCATCGTCCTTGACACACGCTGTTGGCAAAAACAAAATTCAGCCGTGACAGTAACACCTGTTGAACGAGTTTCTTCATTCATACAAATGAAATTTTGAGTAATTTTAAATTTAAGCCTAATTTACTGCGCAGTCACTCTCACGGTCACTGTCAAACCCATTCGCCATTTCCAATTAAAAGTAAATAGCGATTTAAGATAAATCTTCGAGTGTTTTAAAACAAACCCATCTCGCCTGATTAAAGTCCTGCGAAGATGAGAATGGTAGATATGGCTTCTCCGGATTTTTGGAATCTTGGCGGGGGGGGGGAAGTTCTCTCGAACTCAACTTCCCGCCGTTCCGGAGGAGATGGCGTTACGTGTTATTGGGTTGAAACATAAGCAATGAAGCGCACAGATTTTGATAGTATTAATCTTATTCCAATGCTATAAATTCTATAAATATAAAGGACCATAATTATGTTTATATATACTGAAAATAACCATGTAGTTACATGTCGAAAATAACAGCGGGTATCTATGATTATTCTTTTTCTTTCCAACATTTTTATGATAGTTGCATAATTACATATATTAAAACGATTACATAAATATAAGTTTTGACAAATTTAAATGTAAATGTTATGTTACAGAGGTAACACATTATAAGACTTAACAAAAATAACTATTATATAAAATAATCAAACTAGAAAAGAAACGCTGGAAAGTTAAGTTTAATATTTTGCAAAAAAGCAACCTTAGATTAGCATAGCAAAAACGTATTTGGATTTAAAAAACACAGATTTGTGTCTCATTGTTCTCGAAATTCACAGAGTTTTATTTAAAATCTTCTTTAAAATAAGGTTACTTTTTTGGCTAATTTTAAATGGGATAAAAATGTTGGACATTGGCGTAGAAAGTGAAAGCAAAGGAAATGACACAGCTTCCTTCAACAAAGAAGCCCACCAGCGGTCGAGCAGTAAAATTGCTGAACACTGGTAGTTCGACCTGGGTTCGATTTCAAGGGGACAGGCTGGCTGCATGAGCATTTCCATGGTTTTACCCATGTGTAACGAAGATATGAGCCAATTTCCCATAGACATTTCTCCACGAAGGCATTCCTTTCCTTAGGCACATATCCCTAGAGCGCATTTTCATAATCAAACAAAATAAATCAACCTTGACTAATAGGCTGTCGGAGATTTTCTGGTAATATTTATTCAGGTTCAGCTCTTAAATTAATAAACATAATGAAGGAAGAAGAACAAAATAATTGCAGTCTACATGTTCTCTAAATGAAAGTAAGCGTCAGATGAGCGAAACTTGTATGCCGATGTTAAATTAAGATTGAAGAGTGTTTTAACGTTCAGTTAACAACAAAGTATCGTTTCATCACTATTGATTTAATAAAAGTGTACGTGCCACCTGCGTTAAATAAAGTCCATATCGCAGCGATTAATTTTGATGCGACGTTCTTTAAGCCGTTTATTACAAACATTTTATTATTTTAGGATAAAGAGGTATATAGCCAAATTTACTTTAAAACTAATTTAAGACTTTAGAGACTACTAAAGATAAAACATTGTGTTAACGAATTCCATTTCTTATTTATATGTATTACAAATATTAATTATCCCAATATTTTACAAAAATGTATAGCCACATCACATAATAAAGTTTCTCATTTTTTCGTGGT